CAGCCCGCCGCTGGATCCGTGGACATTACACGAAATTGACAAGGAGTAACAAAGCAAGATGCAGTCACTGTAAAGACAAATTCATTATACATTTCACATGCATAGATATATTACACAAGCACTTGGTAAACGCACATCCAGACAAATTAACAGAAGAAGAGAAGAAAGAAGTGAAATTTCATTGGACATGGGACTATTTTACCCAAAAAGGAGATACAAAGGCAACATGCAAAGAATGTAAAAAAATAATTAAATACAGGAATACAACTCAATTAATACTTCATTTAAAAGGATTTCACATGTAAGTAGATCCCTGTACGTTAAAAAACTTATGAACATACTGACGAATGTACAAGATTGCAATTAAATAATCAATGTTAGCTAAAGAAAATGTAACGCAGACGAGAGTATACATTTATCAAAAAAATTTATCAAATATGCGTTTCGCTATATGATATAATAGCGGAACTCTTTGTACTACATAAACAAATATTCTTTATTGTGTACAAAGAGCATAACAGAATTCAAATTTACTATTATCCTAAAAGGCATAATAATGTGCAATAAGTACTAGTAATATTCGACTTATCTAATTTTTACTGAAGAATAGTCAGATTATTAAATATTTTGAATCTACTCGATGGTAGCAATGCTGATCGCTTTTAAAAATTTGATTAATAAGATTCTAAAAATAATAATATAATTATTAATATCTTCACATAATGATGTATTGTGCGTAATTGCAAATAATATCTCTATAGCATTTCTTGTCGCTTTTTAAATTTTAATAACTTCTTACATTTATGTAGAATATTAGGTTCACAAGTAGGTTCACAGACAAGTTAGGTTCACAAACAGAGTATTAATTAACAAAAGCAGTTCGGATAATCACATGGATGCAATACAGGATGTAACTATAAGAAAAGAAAAACGTCAAAAAGTTTTAAATATAAATAGATTTTATGAATTAAACATGGAATTTTTTATACAATATATCTATTATGAGAAACTAGCTAAAAATAGTGTAATGCAGACGAGAAAATTCATTTATCGAAAAATATATTAAACATGAGTGTAGACAAATACTATATCATATAAAAGAGCATCTATTCGTATTACGTACACTTACGTATGTTTTAGTATTTTGAGCACAAAGAACCCAGAATTTTAATTTATTATCACCAAAAAGAACTAGTAATATTCGACAATAATAATTTTCTCAAGAATAATCTAATTCATAAAATATTTTATTCTAGTTGATTGTTACATACTAGATCGCTTTTAAATGTTCGAATAATAAGATTTTAAGAATGACAAAATTTCTACATAGTAGAGTAGTTAATTGCATCAAATAAAATAATATTTCTATCGCACTTTTTATAGCTTTATGATAATACATTACATGAATACAGGATATCAGGTCCAACTTCAGATAACGTAATAGATAACAAAAACAGTTCAGATGATGACATGGATGGAAACAGGGATATAACTCTAAGAAAAGCAAAACGTCAAGAAGCTTCATCTAAATCAACAAACTTATCTGACAGTTTCTACGAATGTGCAGAAGGAACAGAAGGAATTAACGAGTAATTATAATCGCTTTACTTTAACTGTAATACATTTAAATGGATAACACGAATTAAACCTGAAATTTTCTATACAAATATAATTTATCTATAGTAAATTTACTGAAATATAATCTATCTATATTATATGAAACATTTATTTATTATTTCGTCAATTACCTTTATAATAAGTAGCTGATCAGAAATTATTTTCTCAGGGGAACACCATACAATTTGATTCCAATACGTCGCTGGATGCGTGAACATTACACAAAGTTGACAAGGAATAGAGCAAGATGCAATCATTGTAATGAAAAATTTAGTATATGTCTTAGCCACTTACATACTTTACATAAGCACTTGGTAGAAGCACATCCAGACAAATTATCAGAGGCAGAGGAGAATGAAGTTAAATTCCATTGGATTTGGGACTATTATATCGCAAAAAGCAATACAGAAGCATCATGTAAACTATGTAAAGTAATAGTTAGATGCAAGACTACAAATTGTTTAAATCGCCATTTAAAAAGAGATCACGAGTAAGTACCACATATATACCACATGTATACTAAAAGATTTATAAACGTACTTAGAATTGTAAAATTGATTACAACAAAATAATATTTGCTAAAGAAAATGTAACCCATACAATAGTATCCATTCGTTGAAAAATTTTTCAAATATGTGTGTCGGCAAATAAAATATAAAACGTATCTGTTCGTACTATACATACATAAATATTTTGTAGTCTTATTTTGTACAAGGTGTATTACAGAATTTGAATTCACTTTCACCATGTATAAAAAAAGTTAGTAATATTTGGTCACCATAATTTTTATCGACAAATGGTCAGATGTATAAAATTTGAATCTACTTGATTGCTATGATCCTGACTGCTTTTAATTGTTCCAGTAATTAGCGACTGAATAAAAAATAATAATTTTAAAATCTTACACATAATCAAATATTGTGCATAATTGGAAATAATATCTTTATAGCATTCTTATTCTCGCTTTCTTGATAACTTCTTATACATATGAATGTAGGATTTCAGGTCCAACTTCAGATAACGTAATAGATAACGAAAACAGTTCAGATGATGACATGGACGCAAACAGGGATATAACTCTAAGAAAAGCAAAACGTCAAGAAGCTTCATCTAAATCAACAAACTTATCTGACAGTTTGTACGAATGTGCAGAAGGAA